GGCAGAGCGGCTCCCATGCGTGCGCGTCATCTGCAGCGACAGGAGAACAACTGGTATCAGCACCCGCTGGGCCAGGAACTGGAAGCACCTCAGCTTACCCAGCCCAGTGGGGCACAGAGGGGCAGGTGCAGGAGGCCGAAAGGCACGGGCACTGAAGCACCAATGCCGCGAGGCCTGTCCTCGCAAGAAGGGGGCTCTGCGCCGTCCCCTCAGCAGCGATCAAGCTCGAAGCGCCAGGGACGCGTCTCGAACTTGAGCCGAAATTGCTACGGACGGAGGAGGAGGAGGAGGAGGAGGAGGAGGAGGAGGAGGAGGAGCGACACTGGCCAGTAAGGGGGACGAAACGAGACGAGACGAGACGAGCACGCAGTCCCGCAGGCGGCCAGACGCGCGAGGGGCGCTGTGCTGGGGCCGCAGCCCTCAGTAGTCGACGAACTCGCTGGCAAAGTTCAGCCAGTCACCAATCAAATTCATCTAAGAATCGTGGAACCCTCTCTTGAAGAAAAGATTGAACATCGTATGCCCATCCACGTCGTGGTCGCCCTTGAGATCTCGAGCAATTGGCCGTTTCCTCCAGTGCCCACTTGGCAGCAAGTCCATGTGTCAATGCCCAGTTGTTGCGTTCGTTGTGCCCACGACCACGTCGCCCTCCTTTGAAGTTGTCCAGCTGTCAAGTTGCAGCTCTCCAATGTTTGACTCAGGCACTCTCACCGTTCGCTTCACCCAGTCGACCCACGGCTCGAGCTCACCGGACCGAGCGAGCGAGAAACAGAGTGCATATGCGGAGCAAGGGAAACTCTGACAGACCCGCGACGGCCGGTAAGGAGAGGCAGGAGGAGAGACGGCCGAGAGCGAAGCGACGGCAGGCGAGCAGCGGCGGTAGGAAGGGGGAGAAATGGGGCAGGGGAGGAGGCGGAGGCGGAGGAGGGGGAGGCGGAGGAGGAGGAGGAGGAGGAGGAGGAGGAGGAGGAGGACGAGGGCCAGGAGAAGGCGGAGGGGGAGGACAGGGAGCACCTGGGGAGCGAGGGGGGCAGAGATGGAGCCCGGGAGCGCGGGAGGACGAGAGGGCGGAGGACGGCCTCCAGGTTGCGGGGCTCGGGCCCCTCGCGGCGGAGCATCCGGTGGAAGTACTGGCCGTGGCCGACGACGGCCACGCGCTCCTCGGGCCGCTCCGCCAGCCACGACAGGAACCGCCCGAGGCGGCGCCGGTAGGACCAGTCCACGAGGTACTCCAGCGGCTTCAGCTCCACGAGGTCCTCGCTCTCCACGACGGGTCGGCGGGCGGAGGGCAGCAGTGCCAGACAGCAGCCTCTCCTCGGCTGCCTCCGGAGCGTGGCCTGGGAGAGGAACGGGGGGCGAGGCGGCAGGCCCTCCCTGCGGCAGGCTGCGGTGCGCGGCGAGGGAGAGGTAGGGGATGAGGAAACTGCATGAGCATAAACTTTCGGAGCTCCGCGCGGGCTTCTTGGATCTGCGCCGCCCCCCCTCCCCGGCGGCGCCGGCGCCGATCCAAGAAATCCGCGAGGAGCTCCGACAAGTTATGTTCATGCAGCTGTTCCTCCTTTCGAGGCGAGGCAACGGAGGGAAGGAATACGCGGGCGAAGGCGAAGGCGGCAAGAGGCAGGCAGGTGAAGAGGGCGGGGGGGGGGGATGGGGTCCTGCGCACGGGGGACGGCCATCCTGCGCGGGCTGCCAGCACGTCACACCGCGGGGGGAGAGAGAGGGCGCTCGCGCGCGACCCTGTGCGCACGGCTTGCGAGCGAAGGTCAGCGCAGTGCCCCCCCCCCGCCCTTCCGTCAAGCTGCTCGTGCGGAGATCGCTAAAAAAACGCAGCGGGCGTCTTCGCCCCGTGCCGGGCCCCATGGCCCTCGCCGGTGGATGCCGCTGGAGGGTAAGCGCGGGGCCGAGAGCTCCAGTCATGCCGCATATGCCGTTTGTCGCGCCGCTGGTTGTTCCCCCTAAGACGACGGGTGTGGGGGAAGGGGAGGGGTGGGCACCGCCGCGGCCCTGCTCGGGTTGCCTCGGGAGGCGCGAGCGCGCAGACCGGGGCGGCTCAAGGCGACAGTGGCCTGGTCAAGAGGGCGAATGGGGGAGAGGTGGGGTGGAACGTGTGCGAGGGGAAGAGAGAACGGACTTCCGTGCGAGTGTCACGGTCCATAGACAAGTACGAGGAGCAGCAATATGTGATGACTCAGGATGGCAGGGGAAGGAGCAGGCGATGAGGAAGAGGAGTAATGAGAGTATCATAAACACAATGTGTTCCATCGGGGGTGGGAGGAATAGGGGATTAAGCAACGGGAGTTCGCCAGGGAGTCAGCAAGCGGAGGAGACGTGCGAGACCGCAGGGGAAATTCGGAGGAGCCTCTACAGAATCCCCGGCCCTTTCCCCTTGATAAATCGCTGGAGGGACAGTTCTGGAAGAGAATGCTAAAAACACAAACGCCAAACATCTGCACAGACACCGCGCGGCAAGGAAAACCCAACACGCGCTACCAGCGAAGCGAGACGTTCCAGAAGAAGGGCCCGTGAGGCCAGGAGGCCCAGACCAGACACACTCCACGCACACACACACACACACACACACACCCTGGACACACCCTGGACACACCCTGGGCACAACCTGGACACACCCCACACACACACACACACACACACACACACACACACACACACACACACACACACGCACACACACACACACCGACACACGCCAGAAACACACCAGTGACACACGCCAGATGCACGCCGGAGACACGCCAGACACACGCCAGACGCACGCCAGACAGACGCCAGACACGCGCCCGACGCATGCCACCCACACGCCAGACAGACCCTGGACACGCACCAGACACACGCTAGACACACGCCAGACGCCAGACACACGCCCAGACACACGCCAGACACACGCCAGACACACAGCAGACACACGCCCGGACACACGCCAGGCACACGCCACGCACTCCCACACCCACACCCAGAAACACCCAAGACACACCCCGACACACGCCAGACACACGCCAGGCACACGCCGCGCACGCCAGACACACGCCAGGCACACGAGGGACACACCCAGACACACGCCGGACAGACGCCAGACACACGCCAGACACATATGCCAGACACACGCCAAACACATGCCAGACACACACACACACACACATCAGACACACGCCAGACACACGCCAGACACACGCCAGACACACGCCAGACACACCCCAGACACACGCCAGACAGACGCCAGACACACACACACAGACACAAACACACACACACACACACACACACACACACACACACACACACGCCAGACACACCCCAGACACACGCCAGACACACACACACACACCAGACACACGCCTGACACACGCCAAACACACCTAGACACACGCCAGACACACGCCAGACACACACACACACACACACATACACACACACACACACACACACACACACACACACGCCAGACACACGCCAGACACACGCCAGACACACGCCCGGACACACGCCAGGCACACGCCACGCACACGCCTCACACACGCCAGACAAACGCCAGACACATGCCAGACACACGCCACACACACACGCCAGACACACTCTGGGCATCGCTTGGACACACCCTGGGCGCACCCTGGACACAAGCAAGACACACGCCAGGCGCACCCAGACAGACGCCAGACACATGCCAGACACACGCCAGACACATGCCAGACACACGCCGGACACACGCCAGACGCATGTCACCCACACGCCAGACAGACGCCAGACACACGCCAGACAGACGCCAGACAGACGCCAGACAGACGCCAGACACACGCCAGACACACTCTAGACACCTGCCACACACACACACACACGCGCCAAACACACGCCAGACACACGCCAGACACACACCAGACAAGCGCCAGACAGACGCCAGATACACGCCAGACACGCCCCAGTCACACGTCAGACACACGCCAGACACACGCCAGACACACGCCACACAAACACACACCAAGACACACGCAAGACACACGCAAGACACTCAGACAAGCGCCTGACACACGCCTGACACACGCAGACACGCGCCAGGTACACGCGAGACACACCCCGGACACTCCCAGACACACGCCAGACACACGCCAGACACACTCAGACACTTTTTGCGTCGGCGGCAAGGAAAAGACACGCTCAGACACACGCCAGGCACACGCCAGACATACGCCGGACACGCGACAAACGCACGCCAGACACACGCCAGACACACACCAGACACTCCCCAAACACACCCTGGACACACCTCAGACACACCCCAAACACACCCAAACGCACCGCAGACATGCCCCAGACACACCCAGACATGCCGTGACACACGCAAGACACACGCCAGACATACCCACACACAAAAAAGAAAAAAAAAACCTAGACATGAGGGCGACGACGATGACGATAACTTTGACGACTCCAACTGCAACGACTCCATCTTGACCTCCGACGACTCCGACTCCGACGCCGACTCCGACCACTCCGACTCCGACTCCAAAAGCGGCCAGGAAGGCCTTCATGCAACTTCCTGCGTCCTCTCTCATCCTTCCCGTCCTCCCTCATGATGCCCTAGCCCTTCGTTATCGTTTTCCTCCTTCTGTCCTCTCGCTGTCTCACTCCCTCCCTCCTACTGCATCTCTTCATCTCCTTCCCAGCTCTTCTGCGATCCAACCCTTATCCATCCTCAGCTCACCATCCCACCCCTCCACCCTTTGTCCATCCTCCGCCCCCCTGTCCTCTTACCTCCCTGAACCTCCTCTCTCTCTTCCTGCTCCCACCACTCCATGGACCTAGACCCCCTACCTCACAAAAGGCGAGGCTAGAAGGGAGGAGGCCCATAAGGGGTCTTGCTTCGGGCCCAAACTGCCCCACCAGCGATTTGTCTCGCCCCCCCTTCCTTGTCCGCAGGCGCGGGGGCCTGCAAACAAGAGGCGGGCTCTCCTCGGCCGGGGGCGCCCGTCGCAGAGCGACCGCCGAGTTCAGACGCCCATGCTTTTCGCCCTCGGGGGGCGGGCGGTCTGAGCGCTGCCGCCGCCCCGGGGGCAGGGCGCGTGGACGCCGCCCTGCCGCAGCGGCGGCCCCTGGACGAGCTGCCGCTGACGCACGCGCGGTCGCCTCGCGGCGGGCCCGCGCGGAGAGATCCCGCCGCCGCGCCTCCGGAGGGCCTCGCCCCTCGAGGCGGCCATGCCTCGCGGAGGCTCCGCGGTCCTCCGCGGGCCGCCCGCGACGGGACGCTGCACGCACTGCTGCCCTCCGCCCGCCGAGACGGGGGGTCCCGGGCCCTGGCCGAAGAGCTCGCGGCAGGTGCGCGCCGTGCGCTGCCGGGAGCTGTGCACCACGAGCTCGATGCCCTCGCGCCTCAGGAAGTCCGCGCCGCCCAGGCGCTCCCGAGCGCGGCGCACCTCGCCAAAAGGCGAGGAAGCATATGGTGGGGAAGAGGCAGGGCGCCAGCGGAGCTCTTGGCCCCATCCCTCTGCGGAGTTCCTCGGGCAAGGTCGATCCACGACGGCCCTGGGGCCGAGAGCGAGGCGGAAGAGTCGGTCGTGATGCTTTTTGACGGCCCAGATGTCTGGGCGCGGGCGACGACGACGACGGCGAACAACTTCACCCTGGCGTTGGCGGCGACGACGACGGCGGCGACCTGGTCCACCCGGGCCTGGTGACAGACAGCATCGACGGCGGCAGCGACGACGGCGACTGCGAGAAGGAAAGCAGCGACGCTGGCGGCGGGGGCGGCGACGATGGCGGCGACGACGACCTGCTCCACCCCAGCATCGGACAGCGGCGCGTCCAGGTCGCACAGGAGCAGCCTGGAGGCGGCGCAGAGGTCCTGGCACCGCGGCGGAGGGCGGCTGGCCGTCGTCGCCGTCGGCGTCGCCGAGCCCAGGTCGCCGGCCCCCCGACGTCCTCACGACGTGGGACCCCCCAAGATCACGGCCCCGTCCCCAGACCTACCTCATCGCGGATGGGGGTTCGCCCTCTGGAGGGCCCCGGGTCCCAGAGACGGCGCTGCGGGGCCAAAAGACTTGCTGGCGAGACGCGCCCGCCATGATCACGGCGCGGCGCCAGAAGCCCGGCCAGGCCGACGAGCAGCAGGACCCCCATGGAGGAGGAGCCGGCGCGGAAGGATCCTGGCCCCGTGGCAGGGACAGCGCGGCGAGGCGCGAGAGGACGGCGCCGGCGGCGCGCACCCGGACGTTCTCCCGCGACTCCGCGTGCCTGGCAGAGCGAGCACGAGAACGAGCGGCAAGACGCAGTCGGCGAACGAAACAGCAAATCGGGAACTTCCGGACAGCGTGTCGCCACGGCGGCCCCAGCGACACGCTACGCCCTGCAAGCGGGTAGCGTGTCGCTCAGCTCCGCGAGGCGGGAGGCTCGGAGAGGCTCGGCACGTTGACGCTCGGGGACTGGGGGCATGGATAGCGTGTCGCACCGAACCGCGGTGGGTCAGAACCAGCGGAACGACACGCTAAGCTAAAATCCCTGACTGAAAACGGCCCTCTGGGCTTGCTCAGTCTTGAGGGTGGAAGAGGGAAGAAGGTAGAGAGGAGGAAAGGAGGAGGAGGAGGAGGAGGAGGAGGAGAAGGAGGAGGAAAAGTGATGGGGGGGAGGAGGGGAGGGGAAGGACGAAGGAAGGGGGAGGAAGGAGGGAGGAAGGCGGATGGAGGAGGGAGATGGGGAGGGGGGGAGGAAGAAGGACGAGGAGGAAGGGATCGAATTGCTGTTCGCCTCCCTGGCCCTCGTCATCGTCGTCGTCGTTGTCGTCATGGGCGCCGTCCTTATCGTTGTCGTCCTCTTCGTCGTCCTCGTGGCATAATGTTTTTGTTCGGCCCCCGCGGCGCTGCCACCCGATAAAAAGAATGGAGTGCGATCTCTTCGCGCCTACAAGCGTTGCCAGGTTGCGAGTTGACTGGCGTCGATTGTGTGTCGGCCCCCGCAGCGTTGCCACGTGACGAGTGGTAGAACAGTGTTTGATGTTTCCTGGCCTCCGCGGCGCCGCCACGTGACCAGGTGGAGTGGATTGAACACTGCTTCTTCGCGCCCCGCAGGCGTTGGCCACGTTGCACGTGGAGTGGCTCAGTAGTTGCTTTGCCCCCCTGCGGCGCTGCCACGCGTCGAATACTGCGATGCTGTTTGTTCGGTCCCCGCCAAGCGTTGCCACGCGACGACTCGTTTGGAATAGCATTTCTCCACCATCCTGTGGCGTTGGGTCCTCGTTTTGAAGTGACCGTCCCCGCGTCTTCCTTCCTTCCTTCCCCCCCCCCTCCTCCCAACGCCCCTCGCCAACGCCACCCTAAAAAATCCCGATGGGTTGGGGTGAGAGCGCGGGGGGCGCTGCTTGCGGGGCTCGCGCTCGCGGGGCGACCGAACGACGCGCCCGTAGCTCGCCGCGCCCCGCGGGAGCGCGCAGGCGCGGCGACGCCCCGCGCCCTGCCCCAACCACAGGAGCGGCGAAGGGTGAGGGGAAAAGGCAAACGCCGCCACAGCGGCCCGGCGACGCGCGCGCCCTGCGGCGCTGCGCGTCAGACGCGGGAGTATATTTTCCCACCACCGAGGGGAGAGACGAGGAAGTAGTGAGCACGAACGAGACGAGGAGCACGAAGTCCAGGAAGACCCGAGGCGAACCCCCACCCAAAACTCACCCCCCCAACCTGACCCAGCCCGCCCCGCCACGGGCGCCACGGCGAACCGTGGCGCCCACGGCGGGGCGGCAGGGGAAAAGGTTCCCAGGTCCGCATTTGTGCGACGGCGAAGAGAACTGCGTTGGGGCAAAGCGCAGGAGAAAGGCTTGCTGGTGGGCGACATGATGCGCCTCGCCACGCAGGTCTACGAGTGCTCTTCCGGCAAGGTGGTGTCGCCGCCTGGCTGGAAGCGAGTGACGCGCAAGAGCGAGGCATGGCAGGCTGCTTGACGCGCCGCAGGCGGCAGTCGCGGTGCAGCGGCAGGTGCGTGGCTGGCTGGGGCGGCGCCCACGCCGTCCGACGCGGACTTGGACGCGGGCGTGGAGGCACTGTACACGCACAGTCAGGAACCCCCTCCTACCGGCCAGCATGGTCTCGGCGGTGGCGTCGGAGGCCGACGCGGAGGCCGCAGCGCCGACGGCCACTCAGCGCAGGAGCAGGACAAGCGCAAGGGCGCGAGGGCGGCGGAGGCCGTCGACGCGGACAACGCGGTGCTGGAGGAAGCGATCGAGGCGGTGTCGTCGGAAACCGCCGCGACGGCCGAGCAGGTCATGTGCCGATGGAGCTTCGCGGTGCGGCTCTGTGCGGATGCAGGCCAGTCGGGCCCTCGTTCGAGGCCGCGCGCGAGCTCGAGAGCGTCGCCCAGCAGGAGCTCCTCGCCGCCGCCGCCGCCGTGACGGCCGACCTGGAGTCCTGCCTCGCGGCCGCGCGCGCGGAGCGCGACTTCGCGGAGCTCGTGGCGATGCGAGCGGCAGCTGAGCTGAACGCGGTGGCCGAGGGGCCGTCTGGTGCGTCAGCCAGTCGTGCCGCTGGGCTGGAAGACCGTCGCGAGCGACGGGATCTCCCACGGGAGCTGGCAGAGCCTGGCCCAGGCCCACGGGGCAAGCGAGGCAGACAAACAGACTGGGGGGTCGAGAGCTCCTACGGGAGCGGTGCGGACCGACCAGCGGGTCTAGAGGCCTCCTAGATGGGGTCCGAGTAGATGGGGTCGGAGGACCTCGCCGCATCGCCGATACATTGGCGATGCATCGCCAATGCATCGGCGATGCATCGACCATGCACTGGCGACGTCGGCGATACATCCGCGACGTAGGCGTGGAGAAAATGGGCCCCACCTCGAGCCGCATCGCCGATGCATCGCGGATGCATCGGCGATGCGGCGCGACCCTCCGACCCCGCCTAGTTACTCCGACCCCATCTAGGAGGCCCGGAGGGTCGAGGGCTCCTGGGAGAGCGGCGCGATGCCCGCGAGGGGACGCTGCGCGGTGCTGCCGAGGCCACGCCGCACATCCGCGCCCGGTTCGACCTCTCCGTCCGAGGGCACGGCCCGCCGCGGCCGATTGCGCCGTCTGGCGCCGTCGTTCAGTCTGCCCACGCCACTCCAGTGCACTCCACTCCACTCCACCCCACTCCACTCCACTCCCCCTCCTTCTCCCCACCTTCTGCCCATACTCCTCTCTCTGCTCCCTCCCCCTCATCACCATCATCTTGCTCCGCGTCCTCCTGATCCCCAGCTTCCTGTTACCCCTGCGCGCGGGGGGGGGCGGGGGGGAGGAGCCAGGGGGGAGGAAGAGGACGAAGACGACGCAGACGACGCCGACGACCTGATCAGGTACACCAACTTGGCGCCATGCTGCGGCCGAGCCGAGTGCTGGGCGCTCGGGCAGCGCATGAGCGCGGTGCTGTCGGCCATCCGCCCCCCGCGCAGCCCGCGCACGGGGTGGCGGCCACGATCCCGAGCAGACACTGCTGCCGCGGAGGAGGAGGAGGAGGCCAGGATGAGCGGAGAACGAAGGAGACAGCACATAGCATGCATAGTAATAGCATCACGAAGAGACAAGAGGACGAGAAGAAGCTCGTTCGTGATCCACTACAAGGAGGAATATCAGGGCACGCACACACACACACACACACACACACACACACACACACACACACGCACACTCACACGATATATGATATATGTAATGTCTGATATCCGCTACTCATGCTGACTAACGCCGACCCCCGCTCGCAGGGGGTGACAAGGTGTGCAAGATGAGTGGCTGTCACCCTTCCCCTTTCCCCCTCCCGTGGGGTCCAACATCCAAGCCATGAAATTCCACTGGCAAGCATGGTGCGGACGTCGTCACCGACTCGCACTTTGCGCCCCCTTCGAGTGCTGGCATCCCGTCTTCTTCGTCTACCGGGCCGTGTGCTACCTCACTTGCCTTTCCTGGACCAGCCGGGACGGAGGAGGAGGAGGAGGAGGATGAGGAGGATGAGGAGGAGGAGGATGAGGAGGAGGAGGGAGGAGGAGGAGGAGGAGGAGGAGGAGGAGGGAGGAGGAGGGAGGAGGGAGGAGGAGGAGGAGGAGGAGGAGGAGGAGGGAGGAGGAGGAGGAGGAGGAGGAGAGGAGGAGGAGGAGGAGGAGGAGGAGGAGGAGGAGGAGGAGGAGGAGGAGGAGGAGAGGAGGAGGAGGAGGAGAGGAGGAGGAGGAGGAGGAGGGAGGAGGAGGAGGGAGGAGGAGGAGGAGGAGGAGGAGGGAGGAGGAGGAGGAGGAGGAGGAGGAGGAAGAGGAGGAGGAGGGGGAGGACGACGGGACGAGGGAGAGAAGGAGACCAGCCCGTTCTGCCCGCGGGTGCAGCGCCGGCCACGTCACCGATTCGTACCCTGCGAGCTCCGCCTTCGACGGCGCCTCCGGCGACGCTGCGGCCTGGGCTTAAGTCGGGCCTGCAGGACATGTCCCCCTACAGGGGGATCTTCGACGAAAAATAGAAAAGATGTGAAACATATTCAAAAGATGACCAAAAATACTTTAAAAATAGTCCCAGTACTATTTTTTACTATTTACAGGCCCGACTTAAAGCTACGCCCAGGACTGCGTGCGTGCCAACGCCGCCGAGGTGCCTGCCCAGGCTCCCGTCAAGCGCACATTCCGCCCATCCCAGAAGGCGAAGGCCATCATGCCACGGCCGGCTCGGAGGCGGCCGGACGCTGTCTCATCGTCGCTTCCTGCACCTTCCTGGAGCTCTGCGCACTGCGCAGCGGGAGTCTGCGCAGAAGCACCCTGCTGCTGCACAAGTCTCTGCCGTGGTTGTGCTCAGAGCTGACCGCTGCTGGCGTCAAGTGCACCCGTCGTCCGAGGGCTTGGAACGGATCTGCTGCGCAGACTCCGGCCAGATCCTGCAGCAGCTCACCCTGCACCAGCTGTGCGACACCACCGGGGTCCGCCGAAAGGCACGCTAACCTGGCCAGCCTGCAGCTCAAGCGGCCCACGGCTCGACGATCAGCGGAGGCCGCAGCTACGGGGCAAACAAACCTACCTCGCTTTTGACCACCCTCGCTTCCAAGAGATACCAAGCGATGCCAAACTACGGCCTGTACTGGTCAGGCCGCTTGACGAGGAGGCGAGTGGTATGACTTGGTTTTGCCTGGAAGCGAAAGCGGGGTAGGTAATTCACGCTCTGAGCAGCGACCCTCCAGGCCATCGACATCACAGCACTGCCATCCAAATCTGATGGACGGAAAAGTCCTCTTCCGGGGTGCGGTTGCACGCCGCCAGAGCGGGGCCCCGACCCAGCGTACACCACCCGACAGCATCTTCTCGCACCCATGGGGCTGCCGGGCGTCAACACCTTCTGGATGAACGTCCGTCGCGCTCGGCAGGCCAGAAGGAGCGTTTCGGGTCGGGCGAAAGGGGGGGATAGCAAAGGGGGGTTTGAGAATCAGCTCACGCAGCTGATTTCCCCGGCGCCTCCCGGCGCCGGAGGCGGCAACGTACCGAGGAATGGGCCCCTCGGTGGGGCCGAAACCAGCTGCATGCAGCAGATTTCGTAACCCCCCCTTTCCCAATCCCCCCCTTTCGTCCAGCCCGAGAGTCTGCGGCGTCTCTCCCAGGGGAACGTTGCTTACGAAGCGTGTTTGCAGGCACGAGCTGCTGGTCGCGTCGCTGGCCGGGAGGCGGTGAACGACGTCCTGCCTCCGGGGGCCTGCCGCCTCGTGAGGAGGAGTCCGAGGCCAGGCAAGGCGCAGAGCAGCTGCGGATGGGATGCGGTGCGGCTATCAGTGCACAAAAATTTCGGGACGGCGCTGCGGCGGCCGGCCTTTGCTGCCCCATGCGGCGCCGCGGAGCCGATCGCCGTCCAGGAGGCTTGACGGGCGAAGAACGGTACAAAATAAACTTTTTCGCCGTCGGGAGCGCCTGTCCCTGGGCGGCTGGAAAGTTTATACCCCTACGGTGCCACCGTAAGGGTATAAACTGTCCAGCCGCCCAGGGACAGGCGCCCCCGACGGCGAAAAAGTTTATTTTATACCGTCCTTCGCCCGTTAAGAGGCGAAGGTCGAGCGCTTGGACTTACTCGGGGCTTCGATCGACGCGGGGCTGTCCAGTGACCGGGAGCGACGTGAGCAGCGCCGTCGTGCCACGCGGAGCTCGGGAGAGCGTGCTCGGCGGCTCCGTCCCCAGCAGCTCTGAACCTGAAGGAGAAGGGTTCCCTCGAGCTGCTGACGCTCCACATTGGCAGCTTCACGAAGCACCGTGCTGGGCTTCTGGCACTGTTGGCTGAGCATATCAGCCTCACGCCTGCTTTCTACAGGAGTGCAGCCTTAAGAATGGGCTGCATAACGTTTTACGCTCCGATCTCCAACCTTTGGGATATTGCTCTTGTGTGGGATCAAACGGGCTCTGGACTATCGTCCTGGATGGCTTCAATATTGCTGCTCTCGCACTGCAGCCTGCGATCCCGATCGCGATTTTCGTGTTCAGCACCTGGCTATGCAGCTTGGGGAACATCGTGTTCTACTGCGTCAACGGCATGTTCATTCGAGTTCTGCGGATGAGCGCCACCGTTTTGATGATGGGCTTCGTTTGGAAACGAGTGCTCTCACGGTCGGCATCAGGGATTTCAACGAGATGCCCTCTGTGCTTGACGGTTCTGGTCTCGCCGTGGTTTTCCCAGATTGTCCAGCGTATCGACACAATCCTGCCTCTGAGACTTGGAGTACAACCATTGACGGAGCAGTCGTTTCTACCGAGCAGGCTGCGACAGCTACTGCAGTGGGCCTGGCTCCTGTACCCCTTGTTCAGCATCGCCCGGTACTCGCTCAGGCGGGTCTCCGGCCTGCTTACCATGAGCCTCTGGAGTGCTCCTGCGCCGGTTACCATGGGCGCTTGGGACAGTAGTATTAAGGAGGCTTTCGCCGCAGCACTGGCTACGGACGTCAACGTTGCTTGGGAGGTCTGGCAAAACGCAGCCGGAGCTCCACAATCCACAGTTGTCCGGCAGCCCTCTGGAGGGGCCTGGTCTGCTGGCGCGAGGGCCCGTGAGTTGTCGGGCCTGTGGAAGACCTTCCGCAGGCAGCGGCACGACTGCCATTACGACGCAGCCGACGACACACTCTCGCAGAGTACCACGATCTTCGACGATGCGAACGTTGAGCGTCTTCACAACTGGCGCACGCGGATTCGCACTCGCGGAGGGGCCGCACGGTGGGTTCAACAACGTGCCGCTGCTCTGCATGATGCTATTCTCCCGCAATTTGGGTCGGCTGTCTTTTCTGCGAGACAACTTGCGCGGACTCTTGGGCAAGATCTTGCTACCAGGTGGAATGAAGGATTATATCAAGTTCGTCATCTTCTTGGTTGGCGACTCGATTTTCTTCGCTGTCCGTTCTCATCGTCGTTGCTGTGAAAAAGAAGGAGGCCGCCGCCGCCGCTGCAGCGGTCGCCTCTGGATCTTAGCCTCATTGGTGACGTTCCTGCTTATCGCTCTCCGGGCCCCTGGCTGCTGGAGCATACTCGTGAACATGCTCCTTCTGGAGCTCGTGGACTGGATAGGCACCGGGCTGATTGGGTGGAGCGTCTACGCCAAGACTCACTCAAGCGTCTGGCGGACTTGTTGAGTGCAGCGGAGTTTGGGCGCCTCCCTCGCTGGTGGGCGCACGCGCGTGCCACGCTGATTCCCAGGGGCCCCCAGGCGCCCCCGGAGGAGCGACGGCCGCTCACAGTGCGGCCCACTGCGTATCGACTTTGGGCTCGGCGACACGCTGAGTGGCTCCTGCAATGGAAGCCAGCCGGGCTGACAGGCGCCGTTCCTGGGCGTAGCTGTCCTGATGTCCTCTGGGGCATACAGGCGCGCATTGCGCGAGCACGCATGGGAGATACTGATCCTTCGTTCGTGTTGTCTATGGATTTGGAAAAATGGTTCGACCGACTTGATTTGGGCAATATTCGCCGTCTTGTTGAGCATCCGAACCTTCCTTGTTTGTACTCACGTCTTGAACAATTACCAGGGGATCACGAGGCTGTTGTTCGTAGACAACCAACCCACGGATGTCTGGCTTCAAGGTGCGAATCTTTGTGGCGTGCCTCAAGGATGTCCGCTCGCTTGTGCGTTCTCCAACCTTACCTCTGTCATTTGGCACGCCGCAGTGGAGCGGGCGGTGCCGACGGCCATTTTGGCCTCCTGGGGGGGTACTGCTTCAGATGACTCCAAGAGCGCCTGGGAGAGCCAAAGATGATCTCCAAGATGGCTCAAGATATCCCAAGATGCCTCAAGATGGCGCCCACGATGCTCCAAGAGGCCCCAAGACCGCTCCAAGACGGCTCCAATTGGCCAAGGAGCTCCCCCAGGAGGCCCCGAAGAGGCCAAAATCCTTCCAAAACCTTGGGTGGAAAAACATGTTGTGTGGTTTTCACGCCGAGGCCTCAAG